ATAGTTAAGGTAAAATTTTGTGTAAGGTCAGACTCAAGCTGCAGATCAAGCATACCAGTAAGCAGCTAATGGCATAATAAGTCTGTTCATGCACTGTTAAAGTCTCTGTTTTCCTGAGTTCTTTTTTTTCTTGTTTTTTCTTTGGAATCCGCGGCTGTCATCCTTTTGTCTAATGTAACAGTGGAATTATTTGTGTGGCAAGCAATGATGACGTAACAGAACAACAACTCCTTCAGTCAGGAAAACATCATGTGTGTTTTTTTCTTCTGCTGTTGCTGTAACAGGATTAACAGCTTACCATAGGCTACTTTGAATATCCCTCTGTATACCGTATATCTGATTGCCTAATACATAATCTGCTGCTTTTGTTGTTTGTGTGTATGTATTAAGGGGATCTCGCTCCACTAGATGTCCAACCAAAAGCTGAGGACAAAGTCCAGCACAGCACTCAGCGCCGGCCAGCACCCAAACCTCCAACAGCCAATGTATCCAACAGCAGAGCCAATGGTCAGGCTGCTGCCACTGGCTCAGACACACGAGCTCGACCACGGGAACAATCAATGCCTGGAGCTATGCATACACAGTCTTCCCGCACACTAAGGAACCAGAGGAAAGCAGGAAGTGGAGGAGGAAGAGGGGGAGGAAAAGGAGCAACAGTGATGAGAGACAGGGGCCTGGGCGACCTCAGAGGAAAAGATGGAGTGATAGATAGAAGAGGAGGACGACCGTGTGAAGAGTCAAAAGCAAAAGACAAGAATGGACATCAGAGGCCAAGGGAAGAAAACGGACTGAAAGGCCGAGCAGCTGATGGGAGAGGAAAAGGAGGCACTAAAGGAGGCAACAGAGGAAGCGCCTTAAAGTCGAATAAAACTCTGTCTAATAAGGAAGTCTATCTGCCTGCTATGGTGGTGCCGCGCACACCCATAGTACAGAGAAACCTGGAGACAACACACCAAGGTATTGAACCAAGGTTCACACCAATTTTTTTTAATAATCATTTCCTGTTTGGCAGTTTTAGCAAACAGGATCATGGTTTCGTCTGTGAAACACATTATGCTCTCTGCAGGCTCCTCTTTTTATTTATTTTTACATTGATTTTATTTTATTATTGACCTTAATGTCTGCGTGGATATTGGACAGGGGGTGAAGACCAGGTTGGTAAAAGGAGAAGAAGTTGGAGGAACAGAAAAAGAAAAGTGACAGAAAGAAAGAAAGAGAGAAACATACCTGGAAATGAGTGAGAAAATCTCTTAACGGACCATCACTATCAGGAGGAATGTTATTATTAGCATTGAAAACTAAAGTCAGAGAGACGTCTGTGTTGAGATAGATATAATTTTTTAATTTCTTTAAGTCATTACATTTGAAATGAGCTACTTATATTTCTGAAATCAATTAAAAAATATTAAGTAATTAAAAATACATTACTAGAGTCGACCAATGAAGGATTTCTGTGCCTGATATTGCTTTTGAGCCAAAGCTATTAAAAGAAAATCAGAGATCCAGGGTTACGCTTGATTTAAAATCTTGCATTAAATATATGTTATAGTCATGGTATACCCTTAAACCCTACAAATGCACCTTTTAATAAAGTTAAGTATAGTTGTGATGCAATCTATAGTACAGCATAGGCTCTACTGAGGTCCAGCGCAGTACTAGAAATGTAGTTTCCTAGAAATTTCTCCTTTTTTTTTCCTCTCTATTTTTGTTTCTTATGTAGCCCCCAATGGTCACCCCTATGAAAAAATTCTGAAAAAACTCACCCTGCATAAAAAACTACTTTAGAGCACAGAAAATATTTGCAGGTTTAATAACTGTTGCAGTGAACAGGAAGCCTATAGTTGTGTTGTGCGAGGCGGCACCAGAATGCTAATATCAACCTGCTAGCCTACATTTCAAAAGCTTCCTAGAAATTTTTAAAGGCAAATAGTCCACACAATTTTATTTATATTGGTTGGTTCACCTGTATTAATTAGACTGAACCCCCACTTTACTAATTAGAATTGTTTTAGTATTAGCAGTTGCCAGCTTTCACCATTCATATCTCACTGAGCTCAGGCAAATGTTCCATTTATAGCTGCAGGTAGAGATATAAATGGACTATCTATAAATAATTCCCCGTGTTTGTGCAGTGCACTACAATATTTGATGTTTGAAAATTATTCCCCTGGGATTTGATAAATACCCAAGTATACTGTGGGACTATTGTAAATTCTATTACCTAAACCTGCAAACGTATTCTGGAACCTTTGTTAACCAATTGTTAGAATTCCCTTGATATCAGCTATAAAGAATATTGCAAAATAAAACGATCTTAGAGTATAACCATATGTGTGAAGTTCATCTGTGTTATCTAAAATTTTACAAACTGGAAACATTTGACAATGATGCTCCGTGTTTTGTATTCTTAGACCAGAACCATGACAGGACCCAGGACAACCCCTCTGTCCTCTCCCGGTCCAGCAGTGAGGGAGGGTCCAACAGGATGTCCCTTAGCTCAGACACAGAAGGACCCCCATCAGGGCCTCTGCATCCCTCTCTGACCTACCGAACTAACCCTGACATCAGTGAAGAAGAGGGGGAGGGAGTTCCAACTCCATGCCTAAACTTACAGAATGATCTAACGTGCTGTCCCACAGGTAACAGCAAAACGGACTGTACCACTGAAACAGGGGTAGACCCCAAGAAAGAAAAGGATGACAATATCATGGCCTCTGTGGCTAATCAAACTGTACCAATCCGTGAAACTTTAACAGGGTTAAATTATGACTCTGTTAAATATACTCTGGTGGTGGATGAACATGCTCAACTGGAGCTGGTGAACCTAAAGTACTGCTTGAATGGTTACAACGAGCACAAAGATGACAGTGATGCAGAAACGGTCTATCAGTCAGCCAATGAGGATGAAGACCCACAGTATGTGGAGGAGAAGAAGAAAAATGAGGAAGCAAAAAAGAAAGGTAAATACTTCTGCTAATTTTTAACATGTCCCTTGCACATTTCTGTTTTTAGAAAAGAAATAAGCATATTTTATGGCTACAAAGTGTAGTAAGGTATATCTAAGGCCTACAATCTCACATAACATTATATATATATATGAGTAATAGCAACTCCCATTTCTTCCGGGATTAAAACACTTTTTCCCTCTTAAAAAAATATAGGGAGGAAAACAGGAAGACCAATTTGCCACCATACGGTAGCTGGTGATCTGGCAGAAAGTAAAGGTCTGAGCTTAAATACTGCCGCTGCTGCTGACGACCTGGTTGCAGCAGATGGTGGTCTTGGGGCTCGAGTTGCTGGTTGAGTCTGGTTGAGTCTCTCTCTATCAATTTGTCTGAGGATGAAAACCAGAACTTAAACATTGCTCGTACCTCAGGGGTACAATAAGTCTCCCAGACTTGGGAGATGAACTGACGCCCCTTGTCAGCCACGACTTGTACTGTGATCCCGGGTAACGTGAAAACATGGGCAACAAGCAGTTTGGCCATCTCAGGTGGACAGTTCAGAGGGCAAGGAATTGAAAGGATGACTGTCTTACTGTTTGAGGCAGGTAAACTGATGAGTTTAATGTGTGACGATGGCACAGTCATAGAGTCTGTGCGGGGGCAGACATAGAGCCTTGTCTTTGCTAAACATTTCTTGTAGGTCACGGTATTCCTCCAGCGGATCTGATAGATTAAGAGGAGGTGTGTGTACTGAACCTGGGCTGGTGGGTCCACAGGGTTTTGGAAAGTCTAGAAAACGATTTCTGAAGATTTTGCTTAAGAGCGTTAAGATTGTGTTGATGAATAAAGATGGTCATATCAAATACGGACTTGAAAGCTTGTTATAATTATACAAACTCTCTTTTACCTTTTGCACACACTTCAGTAAATCACTGCACCTATGTCCGATTTTAATAGCAAAGACTTTTGAGCAGAGATAAGTATCTTCTGAATATCAACAAACATTGAAAGCATGCCATGCTCTTATTGAATTACAGAAACAAGTAGATAACTTAGTACAAAACCTCGTGTAACACCACTGACCAGATTAAATTATGACAATTTAAAAAGAGAGAATACTGGCGAAGTTGAAATCAAACCTACACCACCTGCTCGTTCCTCTCTGCTCTCAGTATAACCTGTCTTTTCTACTGCTCCAAGAGAGGAGGGAAGTGGCGGAAAAAAGAAGAAATGAGGAAGACGTGAAGAAGAGGAGGGAGGAGGAGGTGAAGAGGAGCAGGGAAGTCATGCCAAGATCCTGCAAGCTGTCCAAGGTAACATCATCCACAACGTCAGAGGAAGAAGAGTCGAATGGTGGAAGAGCTTGTGCTCCCATAAGCAGAAAGTTCCTCAACCTGTTTGCCAAGAACGACAGCCAGAACAGTGCCACAGGTGTGTATTTCCAAACTTTTTTTCACACACATCAATACGTGCCATTGCCAAAAGATTTGCTGTGTTTCCCAGAATAGTAAGAAGGAGACTCCAGAAGACAAGTAGTTACTTTAGGGGAAGGTCTTTAACCCATCAGAAAGACTGGAGCAGCAAGAGCAATGATATGCTGCAGTATTGACAAGTATTTTGGTTTAATTTAAGCCTTCCAATACTACATTATTAGAAAATGATGCAGGGCAGCCATAATTTTACATAAAAAATGAAGCTTTTCTAAATAAATGTCAGTGGATGCTTATTTTTTTAATTTTTTTTTAATTTTGATTCTTTGCTTTTCTTTTCTTTCCTTGTTTCCCATTAGATGTTGAGGATGGCAAATATACAAACTTTAAGTAGCTGATTGTGAGTATAATGCCAGTGATGTGTTGTTCAGGTGCTGGCTCGTTTGGTGTGTTCTCCTGTGTTCTGGATGGAGTGGAGAGGCAACAGAGTCACAGAGCTGTCTACAGGTCAGCACACATGAACTTACACAAATTAACTGTGCCATGTGCAAAGAGTCACATGAATCTGAAATCCTGTACTTTTTCTCTCTATGGTTTTAGGTTTGTTCCTCGTCATGCAGATGAGCTGGACCTTGAAGCAGATGACCCTATCTTAATGTTGAACCAGTCTAAGGACCTGTGGTGTCAGGGTTACAACATGAGGACTGGGGCTATAGGCATTTTTCCCGCCTTCTATGCTGTCAGGGTGCCCAAAGAAATTGAGCAAGGTGCGTTGCAGCACACTGGATTGTGTAAAGAGAATTTCATCAGCTGCAACGATGATTAAAAGCATGTTTTCTTCTTTCTTCTTGCAGTTCAAAAAGATGGTTGGATTGAGAAGTTCCTGGTGCAATATCTGGGTTCCGTTCCGGTTCCCATCTACACAGGCAAAGATGTGCTGTGTGCTGCAATGCAGAAGGTACAAAAAGTAACTGTTAAATTAAAGCTCACAGCTGAAGTATGGACTAAACAAATTCATTAACATAAATTATCAAAATCCCCCAAGAATCAGATAAAATATTTTTTTTAAATAAAAAACAAATGAGATAAAGGCAGCTCTTCACACTGATATAGAAAAGGGAAGTTTTAAGCCTAATCTTAAAAGTAGAGATAGTGTCTGTCTCCCAAATCCAAACTGGGAGCTGTTTCGCCAAAGGAGGAGACTGAAAACCGAAGGCTTTGCCTCCAGTTCTACTTTTAAATACCCAAGAAACCACAAGTTTCAGTCTGAGAGCAAAGTGGGTGATGCAGTACTATGAGGTCTTTCCGATAAGATGGGGCCTGATTATTAAAGACCTTGTATGTGATGAGAAAGATTTTAAATTCAATTCTGGATTTGGAATGGAAGAAAGCAGTCCTACATATTTGTTTAATATGTGCTTTGAAGGACATGTCCTGGTCAAAAATGACTCCAAGGTTCCTCACAGTGTTACTGGAGGCCAAGGTAATGTTATCCAGAGTAAGAACCTGGTTAGACACCATATTTCTAAGATTTTTAGAGCTGAGTACAATAATATACAATAATAACTTCAGTTTTATCTGAATTTAGAACCAATGTCAAATTATGACTTTTTAAGTAACAGTTTAACGACTGGCAGCTTGAAGGCCTGTGGTACATAGACGATTAATAGAGATGGGTTAATCATATTTAAGATTGAAGCATTAATTAATGGCAGAACTTGCACATTTGAAAGTAATACAAGGGAGTCAAATACTTCTGATTTGAGGCTTTTTTTAAAGGAGTTACAGTGGTATTGTTGTAAGTTAAATGTTATTAGGAAATGATCCAACAAAAGAGAGTTTTCAGAAAACACTATTAAATGTAAATGTTAAATGATCCATTTCAACTAACATCATCCTGCTGTAACCAGGTTTCTGTAAGTCAGAGTAAATCAGTGTGTTGATCAGTTATTCATTCATGAAGTAACAGGGACCTGTTAAAGAGACCTAATGTTTAATAATCCATTTTTGACTGCTTTACTCTATGGTGCAGTTGTGGATACTATATTGTTCTTTCGTTGTTTAATTATGTTTAAATTGTTTTTTACTCACTTTTTGGTTGGTTTTTTAGTGGTCTGGGAGACACAGTTTCTAAGGGAACGGGGCCCCGAGTGAATAAAAGGAGGAAAAAAACTGCGGATAGGCGTGTAAGACTGTAACTTTGCTTCCTGGTTCCAACTCAGGACAGTCATGATTTTTTTTTCTTTTTTTTGGGG